CAGTGTCTAATTTGACTTAAGGCCTTCTGTATGAAATGGAATCCATATCTCACACTACTTGGGAGACCAAGAGCCAAAGACTAGACTGCTCAGAGTCTAGGGTAAAACCAAATATTACTTACTGGTCTAAAAAAGAAAAACAGAGTAACAATAAAATGGCTCTTAATGATATTCTGATATACTCATAGACCAGGGACTTGCTCAGCCATCATCAGAGAAATTTCCTCCTATAGCAGATGGGAACGAATACAGAGCCCCACAGCCAGACACTCCTCTGAGAAAGAGACCTTGGAACACACAATCTAAATGGGATATCTCTATCAAATCCTTCCTCTCAGAACTCAGGGAGCCCCACAGAAGAGAAGGCAGAGAGAGTATAACAACCAGAGGGAATGGAGGATATGCGGAGAACCAGGCCCTCTAACTCAACTGAGCAAAGTTCATATGAACTCAGAAACTAAAGCTATAAGCACATGGCCAACATGAGCCTGCACCAGGTCCTCTGCATATATATTATAGCTTTAAATTTAGTATTTTTGGGGGGCCTCCTGAACATGTAAATGAGTGAACTTCTGATTCTTGTGCCTGTTCTTGGGGCTCTTTTTCTTCTGTTGGAGTGCCTTGTCCAACTTCAATACAATGTGTTTTGTTTGATCTTATTATATTTTATATTGTTATGTTAAAAAAAAGGTTGCTTCAAAATGATCAGTTTAACATACAAAAAAAAAGAAACTAAATTAAAGCAAATGAAAAGACAAATAAAAAAACAAACAATCAAAGAAAAAGTCCACAGAAATGTGGGCTCAATCTGACAGAGGTAGTTCCTCAACTGAGCCTTCTTTTTACCAGATAACTCCAGGTTTGTATCAATTTGACAGCCAAAAGTATGAAAAGTACCCCAAAAATTCATTGAAGAAACAAATTCTTGTAGGATTTCAAACTTAAGTTTCACATAAAATTGCTACTTACAAAAATCAGTTTCTTACAGCATATACTTTACAGCTCTGCCAAAAAAAAAATCTTAGAACAAATTTTGAAGGGTATTTCAGGCCTTCTGTTTCTTGTGTCAAGCTGGACAGTAATATAACATGTTTTGCAAAGTTTAGAATTGTTATGACTTTATTTTATTTTATTCTTTATTATTGTATGTCATAGGATCTAAGATGGAATCAATGAGATGATCCCTCGTTATATTATATATCACTAAGAAAAATTATAATATAAATGAACAAATAGTAAGCCATCTGTATAAATGAGTTTTGCCGTTGTAAATTTAACTATCAAGCAAAAATACTTTTTAAAATTACATTTGTAAAAATCTAAAAATTATTAAAGTATATGAGAGAATTATATAGGTTGTTTGCAAAAAAAATGGTGCCTTTTGCATAGGATTTTTTCTTTTATTTTTTTATTATTAGTTACATTTTATTAACTCTGTATTCCAGCTGTATCCCACTCCCTCATTCCCTCCCAGTCCCCTTAAACACCCATGATTTTTAGATTATGAGGTTGAGAGAAGAGGTTCTGTATTAGCCAGTCTTTTGTTGCTGTTATAAAATACATGATGCAAACCACTTAAAGGAAGAAGGATTTATTTTGGCTCCTGTTTTCAGATGATGCAGGCCATGGTTGGCTGGCTCCATCATTTTGGGGCCACAGAGAGAGAAACCATCAGTGAGGAAGTGTGACAGAGCAGAATTGCTCACCTCACCTCATGATGGCTGGAGAGTAGAAAAGACAGGAAAGGGCCAAGGTAGCACATAACCTTCAAGAACACTCATGCCACCTCCCACAGACCTACTTCTCCTCCACAATCTATGAATTGTCTATTCAAAATTTAAATCCTTTGATGGATTAAGCCATTGATGAAGGCAGAGCCATCATGGTATTGTCACTTCTCAGAAGCCCTTCTTCTGAATATCGTTTTCATCAGAAACCAAGCCTGGATACATAAGCCATTGAGGAAAATAGATCATATCCTAATTATAACACGTGCAACATCTTTCTACTGTTGGGTAAGAGATTTTCTGAGTGAATCTTAGAACCAATGAGTATGGTACACCTTAAATCTGCACGCACACACACACACATTTCTTGTTCATTCTAACGTTGATAAAAAATCTTGTGCTATAAATCTAATTCGTCCTTCAAAGCCCTAAGGTTTCCATGAATCCAGACATTCAAGCCTGCCTAGCCCCAGCCTTAGTTACCACATTTGTGAACATGTTAGCACAACGTGTTTCCTGACAAACGGTGCAACGAACAGACTTCAGTTCTTTGTCATTGTGAACAGTGACCACTGTGGCCATAGTCACTGGTAGCATGAATTTAAAATGTCCCCCACAAAATTTCTACCTCATTATGCTTGCCAATAAGGCTTTTTGTATCACATAAAAATAAATTAACACTTGATAGTTTATACGTCATAGGCAAAGTCATAGTGCAAAATCATTTATCAATACTGCAAATCAATATTACTAACTAATCGCATTGCTATTTATATTACATATATCTTTATAGCCAATTTTTGTCAAGTGAAGTCTGAGTCATATTAACTGTCTTCAGCAACAGTACCCAACTAGATTAGATTTTCACATTTGACTTTATTGAAATGATATATTTTTTTCTGCACTCCATAGACATCATTTGGGAAATGTCTATTTTTAAAAAATTACTTCATTAACTTACTTGCAATGGAAAGTCTAATATTTTTAGTTAATTTAACTTTTATCATTATCTTTTATATAGATAAGTTATTCTTTAATTTATTTCATAATGGTATCTAGTTCTATTTTCATTAGATCCAATATTAACATATATATATATATATATATATATTTCTTCTCTAATCATCTTTTTTCCCTTTTACTCTGACTTTTGAATTGCTATCTCAATGACATCTTCTGACTTTTTTTCATTCTTTTACTATACTATTCAGAGCCCTTCCTCCTACTGTTTGTTGTTGTTGTTGTTTTTAATTATCAATTAAACCTCCAAGTAACTTTTGTCTGCTTAATGGCATTTTTCTTTCACAGAATCACTGTTCTACAACATCTTATTAAAAGCATATGTGAGATGTGATCTAATATTTCCTGTGTCTTAAAGTTTCGTCTCATAGATGGAAACTGATGGAAACTGGGTCTTTGTAATGCTACAAAGTCATCTTATATTCAAATATTCACTGGTTTCTTTTTCTTAAACATTTTTGGGGGGATGGAGGACAGAATCTGAGACAGGGTTTCTCTGTGTAGCCCTGGCTGTCCTGGAACTTGCTCTGTAGACTAGGCTGGCCTCAAACTCAGAGATCTTCCTGGCTCTGCCTCCCTGGAGGTGGGATTAAAGGTGTGTGGCACCATGCCCAGCCTTCTTTTTGTTAAGCTTTCAAGTGAGGTATGAGAAAGTTTTACCCATATGCACATCTGTAATGGATACTGATGGACGCCATAGGGTCAGATCTTACAGGACTTAATGAAGAAAGATGGGGTCAATATTTAACGACTGTTTGCAGTTTTGGCAAGAGACATGTGGGTAGGAAGTCTGCCTTCTGAGTATTGTGTTCCATCTGTCTGGAACTGACACAGTTTGACATTGAGGAGGTAACGTCTTTAGCATCCAACTAGAATGACTCCCCTCTGTGATAGAACTTGCAGTTTATTTGAGGTGTCATTGCAGTGAAGTGTGCCTCCATGGTAGCTCTGTTCCTGGTAAGCTGCAGAACCCAAGAGCCTTCCTTACACAGGCTTTAAGCCCCACCTGTCCAGGCCCCACAGCTTCCCCTCACCTTCATTCTCTAACACATCAGTTTGGGTGTATCACAATGTTCTATTAGAGAGTACTTCTATTTACTAAAAACTGGGTATTTTTCTATGAAGTCTGAGTTGCTATATAATTTTACATTAAAATTTACATTAAAGCAACATGCTATTAGTAATACAAGTTAATTTCGTTTACAAACAAGTTATTATTCGAAGTGCTGTCATTACAGTCTGCAGGCCATGTTGACTGCTTAAGTTGGAGTTTTAGTCAGGAATCTGTTTGCTTGGAAATTGTCTAACATTTATATTATCTTTAAAAACAATGACTACAAAGTCATCAGTTGTGTAAGTAGTGTCATACAAAAATTAGTGATCAGAAAGATTTATTTTGTAGGTCTAATAATAAGTCCACAAATGAAAGTTTGAATGACAAGCCTAGAAGTCAGATGCCATTTTAAAGCACAATACTCCAAGTACTGTGGCTGCTTCAGAGTGACAGAAATGGGAAGGTAAACAGCTCCAGGTTTCAAGTTTCAGAGTGTGGAAAGTAGAGTACACAAGTAGGCAGCCATGCAAGAATTCTCCCAAGGAACTGGTACCCAGTATCATGGTACTAGGTAAGGGATTTCTAAACCTAAATGGGACAGGTGAGTGGAGGATTGGCAAAAGACTTTTCCTGAAGGAAGTGAGATCTAAAGGATGCATGAGAATTATCTAGTCAAAGAGAATATAAAGAAGTCTATAGTGTATCTCAGACAGACAGACAGACAGAGCAGGTGGTACTGTTATGCTGTGTGATTATGTGGTCATAAAGGTATGTTATGTGAATACATGATGAGAAAACAAGGCCAAAGAGAAAATGCATGAAAGAATTTCAGTTCAGGGTTGCTGGCAGATAGTACTAGGGCAGATTTGGTGTCAATGAGAGGCATGGATCCACCACATCTTTCCCAGGTGCTAAGAGAATAGCTAGCACATGGCTGAGTACTTAACATCCATGAAAGAAGGGATCTGCAAAGATGCACACACTACACTGAGCCAGACCTCATCCTACTAGCTACAGAAAGTTAACGGAAGAAGGGTCAGTCTGAGCTGAGGCAGGTGGTTTTCCAAAGTCTTCTAAAACTGTTCCCCTGACAGGAACATTCCTCCTACAGAATTAGAGTTTCCCTTCCCCTCTTGGCCCCGCCTACTCCTTTGCCAAGAGCACTGAACAGGAAGAAGTTCTGCTTGGAGGTGCTTTGATGACAGAGCGGCTGCGAACAAGAACCTTACCCGTTACCATTACCAGAGCAGGAGCATATGCTCAGGAGACAAGGACCCCTGCTCTCCACACCAAGTGTTAGTCTGTCAAACAGACTCCTATCTGTCTGTCAGCCCAGACTTCCAGAAGGAGATCAGGTAAGTCTGTCTGTCTGTCTGTCCTCTGTTCATCTGGCACATACCGGTGACACACTGGAGACTGCAGCTTCTATAAGGTCGTTTAGCATTGCCAAGCCTATAAGCTTGTAAGCAAGGGTCATTTCAAGACTAAGTATTCTTGAATTCCAGGAGATCTACTTATTTATACAGGGTTTATGAAACCACAAATGGAGACAAGGTTAAGGCCTAACGCTAAAGTATCCATGAAGGAGAGACAGCACGCAGGTCTCCCATGAGTGTTCTTGACATGACTGGGCCATGTCCTTTCACCTGTTAGTAGAATGCTTGCCTTCCAACCCTCCCCTGGGTGCTCTGAGCAAGAGACGATGCTAAGGCAGGGTAAAGCAGCTTCACCCCCAGATTTTCAGGATGTTGCTCTGATCCCACAGGTCTCTGAATTACATCATCATGAACTGGCACATGACCATCTCAGGGTTTGTCGTAGTAGCGATCAAAGCCGTTGGGATGACCGTGTTTCTGCTGTATTGTGAGTATTTGTGCAAGCCTTCTCTCCAGCGTCTGTACTGTTTCATTCTGCTCAGAATGCCAGGTCGCATGCAAGGACTCCGTGCCTGGGCTCTTGCACTTGTCTTCCCGCACTGCAGCACAGATGTGGGGTCAGGTTCCATGGTCTACAATGGTGGGGCACAGCTGACTGTGTAAAGAGGGTGGAGCCCTTACACTAAGCTTTTTTGCAAGTCTTCGCTGGATAATCTAAACTAGAATATTTAGCCTGGGTTTTCATTGTTGCTATAATTTAGAACATACCGCTCCAGTTCAATCTAATAAGGCTGTGTAAAGAGCTAACTATAAGAGGAAGATTTAGCTGAGGTGAAGGGTGTGGGCATGTGTGTGTGTGTGTGTGTGCATAAAGCCTTCTCTATCAATTCGTTACTATAAGAAGCCTCACTGCCAAAGATTTAGTTCTGAAGCCAGTAGGAAAAAAATGAAGGAGGAAGGAAAAGTGAGTCAATTGCTGCAGTTGGGTAAGAGGTATTTTCCTTGTGACCCAACTTTAACCTGTAATGACAATAACGAGAGCGGAAAAGATACACAAGTAGGTAAGTGAAGACAAGTAAAAATATACACACCTCCACAGAGGCAGAAGCCTCAGTGCTCTCCCCTCTGGCCACATTTCCCTGGCATCCCCTGTGGCTCCTTTGCTCCTTTCATTTGTAGCCACACTGCGGCTGAGCCACCAGCTGATTTTCTTTGCAGTCCCGCAGGTTTTTGGCAAAAGTCACGATGGCTTCGTCCCTACGGAGAGCTACGGGACCACTAACGTGCTGAATGGTAATCTCTCTAGCATCCAGCTTCTACGCCCTGAATTCTAACAGTTCCTAAGAAACTTGCATACACATGCTACACATAGGTCCTTGTCTCCTTTACATCTGTGGAAAGGAACAGCAAACTCATTGATAGTTGTCTCTACCTGATTTTTCCCCCCTACTAGCACTAGGGATCAAATCCGGAGCCTTGTTCAGGAAAAGCACAGATGCTCAGAACCCAACAGCCCACACCCTACAAACATGACTGTTATGTTTGCCGTGTGGTAACCATCGGGCTTTCTTTTCATTTCAGTCTCACAGATTTTTGGGAGGAATAATGAGAGCTTAATTCCCACCAGAAGCTATGGAACAGGTACATGATCCTGGGCTCCTCCCACCCGCTTGGAACTCACAAGCTGATTCTCCAGGACTTTTCCCATCCTCTCATTCTTTGGGGGACTTTTTCTCCAAGGGACCATGAAGAGCTCTCATTCCCTTTATGTTAGGGACAGGGGAAGTAGAGTGATGGGATTTCCTCATGAATCGGGAAAACTTTATGTCAGTAGTGACAAACAAACTCATGTACCATCATTTTTTGACTCAGTTCCAGGGGTCGCATTGCAAAGCACTAATCACGTTTCACTGCATCTCTGTCTCTGCTCCTCCTCCCCCGATCTCTCCAGGTTGTCCCAAAGATTGGGACTTTCAACTAGGAAGATGCTTTTTCTTCTCCACCTCTGAATTCTCTTGGGAAAACAGCAGGGATGATTGTGCGACCAAAGGATCCACACTGGCAATTGTCGACACAGCAGAGAAACTGGTAAAAGCATTGGGATGGTGTAATGAAATAGTCTGCCCTACCCCGGCTGCAGTTGGTGGAGCCTATGGGACAGTTTGGTGAAGGATGGGTAGGATGATGGTGAGGAGTAGAGATGAACCTAGCCCGGAAGTTCACAGTCCTTCTAAACCTGAGATTGGGAGGTTCTTCACTTTCATCTAAACTAGAAATCCAGATTCTGTTGTCTTCCTCACAAACCACAACAAAAGGCTTGTAACCTAGGGATGGACCAAGACATTTAAAGCACAAAGACTGACCAAAAGCCTAATGCATGCAGAAGTGGGTTACGGACCTAGAGGATGTCTCAATGGATCAAGTCGGGTGCTACTGCGCCTGGAGACCTGAGTTCAATCCCAGAGATCTGAGAGTCACACAATACAAGGAAAGAAGCAACCCTAAGTTGACCTCTGCTCTCCACAGAAATAGTGTGTCACACACATGTGAGCACATACATATGTATAAAATAAACAAATTAATTTAAATAACTGCAGAAGGCATCTGAAAGACTCTACCAAGCAGCGTTTCAAAACAGATACTAAGACTCATAACCAAACCTTCAGCAGAAGGGGAGTTAGTATGACGTGGAAAGAATAGGAGCCCCACAAGGACCAAATATATCTGGGCACAGGGTTTTTTTCTAAAACTGTTTCTCCAACCAAGGACCATGTATGGATATAACCTAGAACCTTTGCTCAGTTGAAGCTCATGGTAGCTCAATAACCAATTGGTTTCCCATAGTAAGGGGAACAGGGACTATCTCTGACAGGAACTCAAGCAGGCTCTTTGACCTCCCCACCCCCCAAGAGAGGAGCAGTCCTGCTAGGCTAGAGAGGAGGACTTTGTAGCCAGTCCTGAAGATACCTGATAAAACAGGGCCAGACGAAAGGGGAAGAGATCCTCCCCAATTAGTGGACTTGGAAAGGGGCAGGGAGAAGCTGAGGGAGGGAGGGTGGGATTGGGAGGGAATAAGAGAGCGGGATACAGCTGGGATACAGAGTTAATAAAATATAACTAATAATAATAAACAATAATAAAAAAGAGTAATACTCCTAAATAAATAAATAAATAATAACAAATAAATGAATAAGTGTCATATGAACCTAGAAAGATGGCTGAGCAGGTAAAGGTTCCTGCCACTAGGCTTGACGACCTGAGTTCAATCCCTGGGACCCACATGTTCCCAGAGAGAACCAGCTCCCTCAGGCTGCTCTCTAACCTCCAAAAGGGTCCCAGGTATGACATGAATATATACACATATGCTCACAAAACCACACAGGCACAAAAATGAGTGAATGAATGAATGTTAAATACAATAAAAGTTTAAGTTACTGAAAAACTACAGTATATTTTGTGAGATATATATATATATATATATATACGTATATATATATATAGTAAAGGAGGGAGATATGAATTACTTATGATATTAATGTATCATCTCAATGTATATAAGAAAAATATGTGTTAAAATCAATAATGTGAAAAACAAAGAATCAGATAATAGTTTACCTCTGTGATAATGAAAATAGACTAATACTGTTTAAGAGTTTTATTTAATGTATCCTTTTTCCTTGTGTTGGCCATGAGCCATATTAATATGCATGTTTTATGCATATGCAATGAGGAAATTAGAGAAAAGAAAAGTAATATTTTAGTGTGTGTGTGTTCATGTGGGCACACATGTGCCATAGCAGGCATATAAGGGTCAGAGAACAGCCTCATCTTCATCCTTGTTTGAGGTAGGGTATCTTATTATTCACTGTAACAGAGCTAGGTTAGCTGCTCTCCCCCCCAAGCCTCCCAGAGATCCGCCTGTTCCTGCCTCTCACCCTGCCATAGCAGTGGTGGGATTACAAGTCACTCCAAAGTTGGGCTATCACATAGGTCCTGGGGACTTGTCTCACCAACTGATTCATCTCCTTAGCCAAAATAAGCCAAAACTTCTTGGATGCAGTAGCCAAGTGGAAGAGCAAGATGTTTTCAGGTAGAAAATCAGGAGCAAAAGAGAGACAGGGGAGGATGGGGAGAGAAACGGAGAGTGAAGAGAAGAGGATGAGTAGAAATCGATCCCTTCGTTTCTTCCATTCACCATGTAAGTTTCAGTGTATCCAATTTCCACCACACTACCTGAGTCCCCAGCTTTCTCTGCATATTGACCACAGAAAAAGATCACAACATTGATGTTTTGCCTATAACGCTCAATACATTTTTTTTCATTCCATTCAATGTAATTGAGAATGTGATTTTTTTCTTTTTTAAAATTTTTTATTTTAATTTTTATTTATTTATTTGATATCCACATTGTAGCCCCTTCCTCCTCTCCCGCTGGTCCCACCCTCCCACCCTGTTTTCCCTCTACTCCCCAACTCCTCAGAGAAAGGGAGTCCCCACCCACCCACACCAGCATATCAAGTGGCATCAGGACTGAGCACATCCTCTTCCCTTGTGACCTGGCAAGGTAGTCCTGCCAGGGAAGAGTAATGGAAAAGCAGGCAACAGAATCCATGTCAGAGACAGCCTCCATTCCTCATACTAGAGGATTCATATAAGGACAGAGTTACCCATTGACTATATATCTATGTAGGGGGCCTACGTCTAGTATATGCATGATCCTTGGTTGGTGCTTCAGTCTCCACACGCCCCCCTGGACCCTGGTTAGTTGGCTCTGTTGGTCTTCTTGTGAAGCTCCTGTCCTCTCTGAGTCCTTTTATCCATCCCCTATCTCTTCCACAAGGCTCTCTGTGCTCCACCCAATGACTAATGGTGGGTCTCAGCATCTGTGTCCATCAGGTGCTAGGTGGAGCCACTCAGAGGACAGCTATGCTTGGCAAGCATAGTTCAGGATCATTAACCATGTCTCCCCTGTGGTGAGTCACAGGTTGGGCAGGCATTGGTTGGACATTTCCTCAATCTCTGCTCTATTTCTGTCCCTGTCCATCTTGTAGGCAAGGTAAATTTTGGGTCAAAGTTTTTGTGGGTGGATGGAAATTCCCCTTCCTTCACTAGGAGTCATGTCTTCTTACAGAGTAGGCTCTTCTGTTTCCATGACCCTGGTTACTAGGGGTCTCAGCTAGAGTCACCCTCGTTTCCTCCTAGAAGCCCACCCTGTCTTAGGGCTCCAGCTTGTCATAGAGAACTCCACGCCCAAGGTTTCTCTTCTCTCTGTAAGCCCTCTGCCTTCCCAACCTCACTCTCCCCAGGTCTTATATTGTCCCTCATTTCTCTCGATGCTCCCTCTCTTACCCTGTCCTTCCCTTCACCTCATTCTATTGTCTATTCCATTTCCACTTCTGAGTGGGAATTAAGCATCCTTCCTTGGGTCATCCTTGTTATTTATGTTCTTTGGATCCATGAGTTGTAGTATGGTTATCCTTTGCTATATGGCTAAAATTCACTTATAAATGAGTACATACCATTGTGTGTCTTTGTGAGTCTGGGTTACCTCACTCAGGATGATCCTTTCTAGTTCCATCCATTTGCCTGCAAATTTCATGATTTCCTTGTTTTTTAATAGTTGAATAATATTCCATTGTGTAAATTTACTACAATTTCTGTATCCATTCTTCCATTGAGGAACATTTTGGTTGTTTCCAGATTCTAGCTATTACAAATAAAGCTACTATGAACATAATTGATCAAGTGATCTTGCGTTGTGATAGAGCATCTTTTGAGTATATACCCAGTGTTGGTATAGCTGGATCTTGGTAGAGCTATTCTCAATTTTCTGAGATAACATGAGATTGATTTTCAAAGTGGTTGTACAAGTTTGCACTCCTACCAGAAATGGAGGAGGGCTCCACTTTCTCCACATCCTCTCCAGCATGTGCTGTCACTTCAGTTTTTGTCTTAGCCATTCTGACAAGTGTAATATGGAATCTCAGAGTAATTTTGATTTGCATTGCCCTGATGACTAATAATGTTGAGCATTTCTTATGTGCTTCTCAGCCATTCGGTATTCCTCTGTTTAGAATTATCTGTTTTGCTCTTTACCCCATTATTATTGGATTGTTTTGCTTGTTGATTTTTAATTACTTGAATTCTTTATATATTTTAGATATTAGCCCTTTGTCAGATGTAGGAGATGGTGAAGATATTTTCCCAATCTGTAGGCTATCGTTTTGTTCTACTGACAGTGTCTTTTGCCTTAAAGAAGCTTTTCAATTTCATGAAGTCTTATTTATTAATTGTTGATCTTAGAGCCTGATCTGTTGGTGTTCTCCTCAAGAAATTCTCTCCTGTGCCAATGAATTCAAGGCTCTTTCCCCACTTTCTCTTTTAATAGATATATTATTTCTGGTTTTATGTTGAGGTCTTTGATCTACTTGGATTTGAGTTTTGTGCAGGGTGATAAATATGGATCTATTTGCATTTTTCTACATGTAGATATCCAGTTAAACCAGAACAACTTACTGAAGATGCTTTTCTTTTTCCATTATGTAGTTTTGGCTTCTTTGTCAAAATCAAGTGTCTGTAGATGTGTGGGTTCATTTTTGCGTCATCAATTAGATTCTATTGATCAACTAGTCAAAATAAATTTTTTTAGAATGATGAAAATTTAACAAAGAGAGGCATGCCAGATATAAAATGTGTATTGGAAATGACTAGTTTTGACAATGCTGTCCTACTTTCTCATTCCTTCCGGGTTGACCCAGGCAGGCAATACCGACATCACAGGGGCTATTGTCAGTAACATAAGTTCTTCATTATCTACATTGGACCTACTGCACCAGAAACACAGGCTGTCTGTGTTTGGTTCAGATATCCAGGTGATCTCGCTTCCTGCAAAGTTTCAGAACTTCCCTGGAATTGATGGCAAGTGCCAGGGACACCCACTGCCTAGCTCTCCACTGCCTACCTGGTTCCTAGAACCAGACCGACCTTTGACCCCCTGCTCAGGATGCAGCAGTGAGGAGCTCACTGATGAGCTTCTTTTTTAATTTCTAGAAGTTTCTTCAGGACGTAGCTGGTGCTGAGAAGTACTTTGTTGGTTTGATGCGTCAACCTGGAGAGAAAAAGTGGCGCTGGGTCAACAACTCTGTGTTCAATGGCAAGTATGTAAACACCCTGCATTTCCCTAGGGATTTTTGCATCAGGAGACAAACCTGAGAGCGAGACTGAGACAACTCCAAGGCTTATACTAGACTCTGCTCTGCTTTTCTAGCTGCTTCCGACCCACTTCTTTCCGGCTCACCTTTTTACCATATGAGATATCAAACATTTTGCATAATATAAAAGTAAAAGAATATTATTCGTATAACAAATTATTTTTTTTCAAACACCCACACAGGTAGCTGCTGCTATATATCACATGACATTGCATAAGCCATTAAACTACATAACATTTCATTTCTCCAGATATAGCTCCTTCATTTAAAGAAAATTTATTATATACCTTATCTATACCTTAAAGCTGAACCTGTAACTCACAAGAGATATCTTCCTGGCATCATTCTATGGAGTCAAAGTTTGGAAGAGGCTGTAATATTTTCAGATTTTATGAAAATGATGAGCCAGACAAGGAACAAGCTGGGTTCACAACCTGCAATTGGATTTTCTTACAAAGGAGAAAAAATTAATATCCACTCAGTGACTACTATACATCAGGCACTGTGATGTGCTAAGCATGGATCATTTCTCCATGTCTTCACCAGAATGCCATAAAGAAAGCTTTTATTACTCCCAATCAGTTGAACTGGAGTGAGAAAAAATAAGAAATGGGTTGGATTTCACATAGCAACAGGGTAGAACAATAAATTAATTCCACAGTTCCTTGTGACCAAATCACATGCAACTTTTTCATGGATTGAAACTTTACGGTCAAACTGGAAGATCTGAACGACAGAAAGGAAGAATATGAAGTCCAATAGCTTGCCTCCCCCAAGTTTTTCTTAGAGTCAGCTCCAGTCCAGGAAAAGATTAAAATCCCTTTCCTTCTCCTGTGACCTTTCCTGTTATAAACATGCATCCAATGCTAAAATATGATTTTCTGGGTGGTGGTAGCACATATTTCCGACCTAACACTGGCAAGTTAGATCTGGCTTCTTGGAATCTGTGAGTGTTCACAGGAGAGTTGAGCAGAAGCGCTAGGCATAGGGCTGGGTTGGAGAAGATGTGTTGAGAAGAAGGGATCTAAGTCGGGATGAAAGACAGTGCAGAGGAGGAGGGTGTGAGGTTGGGTGAGGCTTCATTCCCTCCATGCACAGCTCCCATGAGACCCTCACCTCACTAACAGCCAAAGCCAGAACTGAAGCCAGAAGTTTTACTGTCGCTTTCTCTTTTTGTTTAGTGTTACCAATCAGGATCAGAACTTCAACTGTGTCACCATAGGCCTGACGAAGACATTTGATGCTGCATCATGTGACATCAGCTATCGCTGGATCTGTGAGAGGACTCCCAAATGACAATGGGTCTCTACAACAAGAGCAAATATTTAGAGAGACAGCTAAAGAGATTAGCTGCAACTGAAACTAGTCCAGGAAATACAGAGCATCTTCCACCAATAGAGCTCCCTAACGAATCCTCAATGTCAATATGTTACTCCTTTTCACAAACATCTTCACACACAGCATAACTCGTTTTCTGCACCAGGTATCCTTTCACTTCCTGTGACAGGGGCCTAGATTCTAGTCATCTCAAGCAAACAAAGCCAGCTCTATGGAGATGAGATCAACATGGTAATGAGGTCTACTTCTGGAGAGCTGAGCATTTTGATTCATTAGTTGGGTTTTGTCTGTTGACATACCAATGGGGAGAAACTGCAAATGGATCAGACATAGGATTGTTAGGCACTATTGGCAAAAGAAGATAAACTCAGCTTTACAACCTCCCCATTCCCAAAAGACTTCTACTCTCATACTCCTGCTGAGATGCAGAGGCCCTCCCAAACTGAGACCAAGGCTTTTGAAAGAACCTCCACAGCTCAACTTGGAACTGAAAAATATTGTGGGAATGAAGAAAGTCCTGTATAGGACAGAGATAAAAGTGGGGGATAAAAGAAGAGACAGGAAGTAAAGGGAAGTAAGGAGGAGAGGAGAAAGGAGGAGGAGAGGAGAAAAAGGAGTGATGTGTGAGAGAGAAAGGAATGGGAGGGGCCAGAAAAAAAAAAAAAACACTCAACCTAAAAAAGTATGTTTTGGGTTTGAAATAAATTTTCATTAGAGTAGAACGGGCAAAACAGGGACAAATGGAAATCATGAGAGATGAGGCAGGGAGTTCATTTGATCACAATGAAAGAAAGGAAGGAAGGGAATAGACAAAGTCTTGGACATCTTAACTGTTTTCTGCATTCACGAGAAGGTTATCCTCTGTATACATACCTAAACTCATAGGAAAAAAAAAAGAAATGCATTGGCTGTTCTGAGTAACTAGAATTAAACTATAGGGAAGCTATAGAAAGCTGAATGAATTAAAGTCATCCAATAACCAGCATTTTCATCTAATAGCAATATGTGCATGCATCACTACTCAAAATAAATTATAAATTCTATTATTGCAATACTAAGTTATTTTTTTCCTATTTCTAGAACTCATAATTATTGATGTGTTAGATTTATAAATTTTTTAATGAGATAATGTACTAGCTGGTAAAGCCTGCTTGAAGAGGGCCATTAGAGCAGTCTGGTAGATACTGGAATTACGTTTGTACCCTATGGAGCTATGAGGTCTCTGAAGGTCTTAATGAGTAAATGCCACAGCTGAGACGGTGGACTGAAACTATAGTAGAGAGAAGCAACTGAGTTTTAACCAGAAGGAAGCCACAGAACTCAGACAGCAGAAAGGAAATCTTGGTCCTTTTGAGAAAAGAGAACTTCCATTGCTACATTTCCTGTCTTATGACAGAATAGTTGCAGACTATTGGGGTCAGGAAATGAGGACACTAGTGATTTCTGTGGTTGAAGTCTGAAGTTCCCGCAAGATGAGATGTTACTTGTGTATGGGATCATAAAAAAAAAACCCTGGATAGGAGCTGGCATTAGAAAGAGAACATCCAGGGACTCTGTGGATGTTTTTTCAATTAATGGAAAAGGGATTCATGAAGGGTAGATAAATGGCCTTTCTTAGGGAACAGTGATATGAGCTTTTAAAATGGACTTAGTAAGCCATTTGGGTTAAAGTTTTGACTTTGTTTCTATATACTTTCCCTACACACTTCTTTTTTTAAATTTATTTATTTATTTTCTGTTTTTTTTTTAAATATAACGTGGCCTTTAATCCTTATTTCTTTGATAGTAAATTATAAAAAGCATTCTGCAGGTTTTTTCTTTTTTATTATTTTTTTTAGTAATTACAATTTATTCATTTTGTATCTCAGCTGTAGCCCCTTCCCTCATCCCTTCCCAATCCTACCCTTCCTCTTCTCCTTCTTTGCCCCTCCCCCAGTCCACTGATAGGGGAGGTCCTCCTCCCCTTCCATCTGACCCTAGCTTATCAGGTCTCATCAGGACTGACTGTATTGTCTTCCTCTGTAGCCTGGCAAGGCTGCTTGCTCCCCCATCAAGGGGAGCTGATCAAAGAGCCACCCCATGAGTTCTTGTCAGAGACAGTCCCTGTTCCTATTACTAGGGAACCCACTTGGACACTGAACTGCCATGGGCTACATCTGAGCAGGGGTTCTAGGTTATCTCCATGCATGATCCTTGTTTAGGGTATCAGTATCAGAAAAGACCCTTTTGATTCTGTTGCTTCCTAATGGAGCTCCTGTCCCCTCCAGGTCTTTCTATCTCCCCCTTCTTTCATAAGATTCCCTGCACTCTGCCCAAAGTTTGGCTATGAGTCTCAGCATCTGCCTTAATACCCTGCTGGGTTGAGTCTTTCAGAGGCCCTCTGTGGTAGGCTCCTGTCATGTTCCCTGTTTTCTCCCTCTTCTGATGTCCATCCTGTTTGCCTTTCTGAGTGAGGATTGATCATCTTACCCAGGATCCTACTTCTTGCTTAGCTTCTTTAGGTGTACAGATTTTCCGAGGTTTTTTTTTTATTTTAATTTTTTTCTTCACAATTTATTCGTCATATTAACCTGATTGAAGCCCACTCCCAGTCCCACCCTCCCTTCCTCTCCCTCTCATCTCCTTCTCCTAGTCCACTGAAAGGGGGAGTTCTCCACTATTGCCATCTACCCATAGCTTGTTAAGTCTCATCAAGACTTCTTGGATCCATTTCCTCCATGGCCTGGCAAGGCTGCATCATCGGGAGCAAGTAATCAGAGATCAGTCAGCTGAGTTCATGATAGAGGCAGCCCCTGATCCCCTCACAGAGAGATCCACAAAGAGACTGAGCTGTCAATTGGCCACATCTGAGTACGGGGTCTAGGTCCTCTCCATGCATCGTTCTCTGTTGGTGCATCAGTCTCTGCAGGACCCCCTGAGTTCAGATCTTTTAGTTTTGTTGGCCTCCTTGCAAGCCTCCTGTCTCCTCTATGTCCCTCTAATCCCACCCATCTCTTCCTCCATAAGACTCCCTGTGCTCTGCCCAAAGTTTGACCCAGAGTCTCAGCATCTACTTTGATCCACTGTTGGGTGAATCCACCTACACACTTCTTTAACATCAGTCACACTCTATAGTTTTTATAGCTTTATTGGGATGTAAAGAACATGTCATAAAATTTACCCATTTGAAATGTACAGTTCAATATGTTTGGGACAGTCACACTAGTTTGCACCCATCACCTCAAAAAGAAATCCTATACTCATTAGCTATCACTACACCATCTTTGTATTCCTCTTTGTATAGAGCCCTGGTCTACTTCCCGTCTTTGTAGAGATTCTTATTCTGTGTCACGTGAATAGAATGTCAGCCAATGCATGGCCCTTTTTTTCCTGGATTTCAAGATTCACCCATATATTTCAGCATGAAACAGTGCCCTAGTCTGGATCTTGAGTGTCCCCCATAGGTCAAAGGTCATTCCCTAGGAGTGTGATATTGGAAAGTAATAAATCATTTAAGAGGTAATATCTCCTGAGTGTGCTCTCTATAGGCTGGACAATCCTCAGCCCTTTCATCTTTCTCCCTTCTGCTCCCAAGCAAGGAGTGGTTTTTCTCTATTGCATGCTCCTAACATGAGCTGTAGCCTCTCCACGTGTCCAAAAGCAAATGAGGCCAACTGATTATGGATTGAAATTTCCAAAACCTTTTGATAAGTTATTTAACACAGGTACTTGTTACAGTGGTGCAGATCTTGTTATCACAATCTGTATTTCATTCTGTGGATGAATATTACTGCGTTTGTTTGTTCCTCCAACAACCAATTGATACTTTAGCTTTTCCACCTGTCAACTATTACAACTACTGAAAACATTGACTTCTCAAGTATACACCTAGGGATGGGACTGCCAGTTCATGTCGTTAAATTATATGTTGTGTAAAGAAATTTCATTTTTCAGAGATACTGAGCCATTGCAGCTTCCTACCAGGAACATATGTGGATTATAATATTTTGCACATCCTTGTCTTATACAATATACACTATTACCTAGCTGCATCACCTTGTGTGAATGAGTTCTCATAGTGATTTTGATTTGAAGCTTTCTCGCTACAGAATATAGAGCTTAAAGCATTTCTAATTATAGCAGGAAGAATATCATCATCACTCTTCACCCTTTGATGAAGAATTAGAAGCATCTTTCTTGTACTTTGAATAGCTTCTCCTGTTGAGAATGGTGATTCTTTTTCATCAGAGTTTTCAGCTAGAGACTTAAGGGAAGGGCGTGGCCATATCTGCACACACCTTATCCTATTAATATCTTCAGCTCCCAACTTCTAGGTTAAGATCCAGAAATACCTCCATAATTATGTTTTTATTCCATGCTGAAGGTGAAATCCAGGGCTTTCTACATACTAGGCTACCTTTCTACCAATAAGCCACCTGGGCCTTCCTTTGTTTTGGAATGGTTCTTTAGTAAATTTTATTAAAATTTACTTACACATAAGTAAAAACATCACACACAAAAATTAACCACACCCAAAGTCTCCAAAATTTAATGAATTTATATATAAAATAAAATTGGCATTTGAAATTGAAGCTGTGTGACTTTACATCAAATTTTACACTTTCAGTAATGAATATATTTTAAGCACTTATGCACCACTCAAGCCAAAAAAAAATGACAGAATTGAAACTTTATAAAACAAATAGCTTTATATCCTCTTTCACAGCTCCTTTGTTTTAAGACAGGCTCTTGTTACACTATTCATGCCAGCCTAGAAGTCATCCACCCTGTAACCCATCATAGCTTCAGGCTTATCATTCTCCTCCCTCTGCCTCCTGAGCACAAGGATCACAGGTAGGCACCCAAAACTGCTCCCAAAAATATCATGATTTCTTATCAGGACCACTTAACCAAAATCCCCCTTTACTTTGACAAATGTGTGTGTGATGAAGAGCTTGGCTGGTGGCATATATTAAAATAGGATTGGAGTTTGACTTAGTACACTCTTTAAGACAAGTAAGAGAGATCCAATTATTTTGTTTTTGTATAGGAAATTAGTATATGTTTGCAGAAATAAAAAGATTATTAATAGGTGCACAGTGCCAAGTCTTCTCTTCCCTTCATGCCCACTTCCTTGTCATGGTTTCAGGACAATCATTACCACTTCCTTCTGTTGTCATCACAGCCCCTGAGAATACATAGTCACTCACATTCAAGACACTCTGGCTTTCTCGCTTCAGAATATAGAGCTTAAAGTGTTTCTAATTATAGCAGGAAGAACATCATTGCTCTGGCAGCTTCACAAAATTCCATTGGATAGAGGAAATATTGCCTAAACACCTCCCTAACCAGCCTACACAGCATCAATTTGTATTTTTTTTAATTCCACACTGGATTACTTTACAAAGTAGCCATGACCGAAAGAATGGAAACAATGACTAGAAACAGGGTGGAGTGGACAGGAAAGAGGGAAGCTGGGCCATGCTAGAAACAAGACTTGAGAGAAAGCTGGACTACCACATGGAAAACTCTGGGGTTTTTGTCTGTTTTGTTTGTTTGTTTTGTTTGCTTTTTTGTTTTTTGTTTTGTTTTGAGTGAGGGAAAATGGGAACCCAGGAATATACTGTAGAATCAGAACTGTGGAAAGAGGAACACAGAGGGCATTGGGATGGATGGTAGGAGAGGATGAACAAATGAAGGACAAAAGCAAAGGAGGCATTCCAGACCTGGAAAAGAATAAAGACTGAGAATCCCAGAGAGGAACAGGGGCTGCCTCATCTTCAGTCCTGTCAGTCACTGCACCTCTCAGCCCAGGGTGATGGAAGGCCAGCTCTCTTCTCATCTAGTTCCATCATCTAATTCGTTTGTGGCAGCAGTAGGATCTGGGTGATACTGTAAGAGGGTACCTCCTTACCCAGGTCTTCCTCCCTCACCTCAAGAAAGCTCTCCACTTATCTAGGCGATTGCTAGGTTTCATAGTCCATATGTCTGGGAATGAGCTCATCTGGATTATGGGAAGATTTCCGGTGGTTAGATAAAAGCCAGTATTCCTTAGAAACCTGTAAAACTGATTCCCGTCTGCAGAAAGGAGTCCTTTTCCTTCCCTCTGGCAGAAAGGATATATGGCTACCTGTGGTTGCATGAAGAGCCCATGCTGACCTCCAGGATCCCTCGGTCCCCATTCACAAGTATGTGTTGTACATTTCAAAATCCACACTAGTCTCCTAGTCCTCCCCTCGCCTGAGCACACTCATCCTTTTCATAATCTGCATGAGTTGTCTACTCCACTCACTCTCCTCTTGCTCTCTTGTCTCACTATTCTATTCTCTCCCTTGTTGTGTTCTATTCTTTATCTCTTGCTCTCTCCACTATGCTTTTTTACTTCTCCAGCTCTGGCCATGCTCAGTCTCTGTGCTTTGGACTCTTCCAGATACCTCTGGATATTTTCTCTCTCTTAGTCACAATAAAAAAAAAAAAATTCCCCCCCCAAGAATGTAGCGGTCATGTCAACAATGTCTTTATACTATGCCCCCCACATGGTTTTAAAATGTCCCATCAAAAACAAGGCAGATGTACTCACAGAGAATGCCACAGTATGCATAAGACCTATACAATTTTAAGCCAGAAAAAATAAATCGCAGCACAAAGAGGGGAAATGAGCACAAAATCCCACTCTCAGCCAAGAAGCTATCTGCAATGGATAGCTTTCAGGAGAGGGGAAACTGGTTTTCTTCAATGGAGTGACACTTGGTATATCAACCCCATTCCACAGCAGATACCATGCTCAGGAGTAAATGATCAATGCAGACAAGACTCAGTGTTTTTAGTAGGCTTTAAATGTGGGGATTTTTCTGTTTTTGTTTTTAAGAGAAAAAGAGAATATGAAGTTTGGTAGGTAGGAAAGAGAGAAGATATGGGAGGAAAATATGACTAAAAATGCGGTCACAACTTCAAGTCTTTGGACACGGATATTTGACGATGATAGTATTTGTGGTGCAGCTCAGAGATGCTCTTCTCAGATTATTCTAGCATTCTTAGCATGTGTTTTTCCGTGCAAATGTCTAAGGCCAAGGCTAACGCTTGAATAACTGGTAGCAGTGGTTGACGCCATCCCGAAGGGCTTCTATGACTTTGTCATTACGGAGTGTGAAGATGAAAGGGTTGAGGAAAGGAGTTACAATCGAAATCATCAAAGAAACTACTCTATTGTAATCGGCTGCCTGTGTCTGCTTGGGTTTCACATAGAGGAACAAGCAGCTGCCATAGCCAATGACAACACAAGTGAAGTGGGAGGCACAGGTGGAGAAGGCTTTCCTCCGGCCAGAGGCTGAGGGGATCTTGAGGATGGTGGAGATGATATAGGTGTAGGAGACAATTGTAGGGATCAAAGAACCAAAAAGAACAAAGACAGCCATTAAAAAGAGGATAAACTCTATGAAAATAGTATTATTGCAGGCTAATTTGAGCAACTGCCCTCGGTCACAAAAGAAATTGTCCACTACATTTGATTTGCAGTAGGTAAGGTGAAATGTAGCATACACTGGCCAAATTTGATAAAGGAACCCAAATATCCATGACACAATTTTTACCACAGAGTTGCAAGTGCGGCTGCTCATGATGACGCTGTACCTCAAAGGGTTGCAGACAGCCACATAACGATCCACCGCCATTGCTCCAAGCAACGAAAACTCTGTAGTCCCCAGAGCAAGTTGCAGAAAGAGTTGGGCAGCACAACCAGCCAGAGATATGGCCTGCATTCCAGGGAGCAGCAGCCCCCAAAGCATGACAGGTACAATAACGGTTGTGACCAGGATCTCAAGGATGGAGAGGTGAACAAGAAAGAAATACATGGGGGAGTGCAGACGTTTATCCACACAGACGATCACAATGATGACCGAGTTCCCCACTAACGTCACTAAGTAGAAGAAGCAGAAGGTAGCAAAAAGGATGTGGTGTAGCTTTTCAGAGCCAGGAAAACCAACAAGATAAAATTTGGTGGCACTAGTGTAATTCCCCACCATTTAGTTCTGAGTCCTTGTTTCTTGTGAAATCTAGAGAGGGAGGGAGGGAGGGAGAGAGAATGTTTCTCACCTCAGAATCACTGAAGACATTACCAGGTTCAAGAAACATTCCTTTGTGTTGTGTTCCTTAACTCCACAGCATGGCTATTATTTCTATCCAAAGTTGATGTCAAATGTTTAAGGGCTAAACATGTAGGAATTCATATATGTAAACATATATGTATATAAAATAGAAGCATACAAGTTCAAGTGGATAAGTGCTAATTATCAATGCCACATTTCCATCACAAACAGGGAGACTTACCCAGTATTCCATGTACCTCTGTCTCACAACATGCTAGAGATTCCCCTACATTCTGCTGTGCTCAGCCTCCCTCTACTTCCCGGGGTACAGACTGCTCATTTATAGTACCTCTTCTTTGCAATTGTGTTTCTATCTTACGGAAAACTACTGCACTTCAATGACCCTAAGTGCTTCTGGCCAACCCGACAGAGATGGGGCTCCTTGTGTTCTTTATGTTCTCCAAACACAGGCTTTATTTGAGTTCTGTTGATTTGAAAGTTTTCACCTTTGCAATAGGGATCAGTTATGGAGTGCGGCTGGGCAGTGGCATCTCGTTACACAGGATATGGTCATAGGACATTGCCTTTTCTGAAATAAAGTATTGCAGCTTCCTTCTGCTCCCTGAAATAGCTTGCCCTCTTCCACTTTTTTTTTTTTTTTTTTGTATGATGAAAAGCATCCTCTTACCTCAGTGAATATGTTTCCTGCAAGCAAGCAAGAAAGAGTCCAGAAGGAGTTAAGGAACTGAAACTTTAATCTTCAAATTCCATCTGTCCTGTGGAGTCTCCACCTGGGACCAGAAGGCAAGAAAGTAACAGTGGAGTGAGACAGCATGTGGTACATCTCTTGGGTCTCAAGCTCTGTTTTCCGGGGTAGATAGACTAGTGTGTGTGCCTGTTTAACCTGACACTGCCTCAGTCCCATCAAACAGCTTGGAAAATGCAAGCTGTGGTCTGCTGTGACCACCTGTTTCTCCACAGTCCTGGGAGAAAGAAAGAAGCACCAGGAACACCAGTGGGTCAGCCTGAGCTCCTTCCGTGACCTCATTCAGGTCTTTGCCCAGATGTCTCCTCCTCCCAGCCTTTCATTGAGAGAAACCTCATTTTCTCTAAAACAGCACATCACACCTTTGTTCTCTATCCTCCATTGCTTTCATTGCTATCTCAAATTATACTTTTGTTTGCTAACAAATGTAGCCTCAGACCCCCAAATTTGATTAACACTTCCACAGTTCATCCTTCACTTTCGCTTTCTTGTATTGCCAGTGTCAAAAAAGAAAAAGTTGGTGACATACGCACTCTGTTTTTTAATGAGTCTGCCAATGAATAGATGAGAGGAAAAGGGGACTGAACAGAGAGTTCAGAATGATTTTGTAAATCTGCTGGTCCTAAAGACCTACAGAATGGCAGACAGATAGAAGAATGGAGAGAAGAGAGAGGTGGGATGTGGGAGCAAGGCAGAGCTTTGCACCATTCCTGCACAGAGCTGAGTAATGGGTTCTCTGCTAAGGAGGAAGATGTCACTCCAGGCTCACCTTCTGTGCAGCCCCCAGTCTTTCTTCAGTGTGTCTGTGTCCTCAGAAAGTGACAAGCCAAGCATTTCCACGAAGGTGCTTTACTGTGCCTCTGGAAGACACCTCCAGACAAGGGGACTCAACTAGGAAGTGCATTGCCTTTCCAGGGATCACCCAGACAGGCTAGTAGAGAACGAGGCCAGGATGTGGAGCCAGCAGCTTCTTCCCCCGATTCATAATGAAGAACAGTGTCTATACACACAGAAGCTTAAGGAAACATCCATAAATCATCGTGACAAGGAAAGCTCATTTGTTTTCCTCTCTTGTAGTCTCTGCTTCCTTCTTTTTTTTTTTTTCTTATATCTGCCCCCAAGGATAGTTAGCTATCCACTAAGGAACAACTTCTAAAAATTCAAAGATACACTAGGGATGGCTGGCAAAGAAAAGCTGAACAGCACTTTTATCTTTCTCTCTGGAGGTTAATCAACATTCAGAACCCTGAAAAGTTGTTCAGTGAGCACACTTAGACCTTCCCTTATTAGGAACTTCGGAGTCCCCAGGTCAGCTTCTCCCCAGTTCTAAGTTATGAACAACCCAGGTTGTGAAGTGGCAGCCTGCTCCTCAGATCTGTGCCTGTCCTTGATGCAATTTACCCAAGTGAACCTAAGCCACTCTCACTACTGGCTCCAGTGTCTCCAGGTTTTTTGTTTGTTTTTTTTTTAATTTAATTTTATTTTTTTCTTATCAGTTACATTTTATTAACTCTGTATCCCAGCCGTGTCCGATCCCTCATTCCTTCCCAATCCCACCCTCCCTCCCTCATCTCCACCCTGCCCCTTTCCAAATCCACTAATAGGGGGGACCTCCTCCCCATTCATCTGTTCCTGTTTTATCAGGTATCTTCAGGACTGGCTGCAAAGCTCTCCTCTGTGGCCTAACAGGACTGCTCCTCCCTTGGGGGGTGGGGAGGTCAAAGAGCCAGTCATTGACTTCCTGTTAGAAATAGTCCTTGTTCCCCTCACTATGGGAAACCAATTGGTTACTGAGCTACCACAGGCTACATGTGAGCAGAGGTTCTACATTATATCCATACATGGTCCTTGGTTGAATGTCAGTCTCTGAAAAGACCCTGTGTCCAGATATATTTGGTCCTTGTGGAGCTCCTATCCTTTCCCCATCATACTAACTCCCCTTCTTGCATATGATTCCCCGTACTCTGATGAAGGTTTGGTCATGAGTCTTTGTATCTGCTTTGAAAACACTGCTAGTTAGAGTCTTTCAGATGCTCTCAGTAGACTCCTGTCATACGTTCAATGCACATCCCATCTGTCTTTCTAAATGAGGATTGATCATCTTACCCCATGTCCACTCTCTTGATTATCTTTTTTAGGTGTATAGATTTCATTATGTTTGTCATATCTTATAGGTCTATATAAGTGAGTATATACCCTGTTTGTCTTTCTCCTTCTGGGATATTTCACTCAGAATGATCTTTTCTAGATCCCACCATTTGCCTGCAAATTTCAAGATTTCCTCCTTTTTGATTGCTGAGTAGTATTCTATTGTGTAAAAATACCACAATTTCTGTACCCATTCCTCCATTGATGGACATCTGGGTTGTTTCCGGTTTCTGGCTATTACAAATAAAGCTGCTATAAGCATGGTTGAGCAAGTATCCCTTTTGTGTACTTGAGCAAAGTTTGGGTATATACCTAGCAATGGTATAGCTGGGTCTTGAAGAAGCACTATTCCTAATTGTCTTAGAAAGCACCAGATAGATTTCCAGAGTGGTTGTATCAGTTTACATTCCTACCAGCAGTGGAGGAGGGTTCCCCTTTCTCTACAACCTCTCCAGCATGTGTTGTCATTTGAGTTTTTCATCTTGGCCATTCTGATGGGTGTAAGGTGAAATCTCAGGGTCATTTTGATTTGCATTTCCCTGATGGCTAATGAGGTTGAGCATTTCTTTAAGTGTTTCTCTGCCATTCGATATTCCTCTGTCGAGAATTCTCTGTTTAGCTCTGTTCCCCAATTTTTAAGTGGATTACTTGGTTTGCTGCTTTTCAGCTTCTTTAGTTCTTTGTATGTACTGTATATTAGCCCTCTGTCAGTTAAAGGGTTAGTGAAGATTCTTTCCCAATCTGTAGGCAGGCGTTTTGTTTTGATGACAGTGTCCTTTGCTTTACAGAAGCTTTTCAGTTTCATGAGGTACCATTTATTGATTGTTGCTCTTAGAACCTGTGCTGTTGGTGTTCTGTTCAGGAAGTTGTCTCCTGTGTCAATGAGTTCTAAGATGTTTCCCACTTTTTCTTCTAACAGATTTAGAGTATCTGGTTTAGTGTTGAGGACTTTGATCAACTTGGACTTCAGTTTTGTGCAGGGTGATAAGTATGGATCTATTTTCATTTTTCTGCATGTAGACATCCAGTTGGACCAGCACCATTTGTTGAAGATGTAGTCTTTTTTCCATTGAATGGTTTTGGCTTCTTTGTCAAAAATCGAGTATTCATAGGTTTGTGGGTTTATTTCTGGGTCTTCTATGCAGTTCCATTGATCCTCCTTTCTGTTTTTATGCCAATACCATGCAGTATTTATTACTATTGCTCTGTAGTACAACTTGAGATTGGGGATGGAGATACCTCCAGATGATCTGTTGTTGTACAGAATTGTTTTGGAGATTCTGGGTTTTTTGTTTCTCCATATGAAGCTGAGAATCTTTTTTTCAAGGTATGTAAAGAATTGAGTTGGTATTTTGATGGGAATTGCATTGAATCTGTAGATTGCTTTTGGAAGGATGGCCATTTTCATAATGTTAATCCTACCAATCCATGAGCACAGGAGATCTTTCCATCTTCTGAGATCTTCTTCAATTTCTTTCTTCAGAAACTTGAAGTTTTTCTCAAACAGGTCTTTCACTTGCTTGGTTAGTGTCACCCCAAGATAAATTATGTTATTAGTGGCTATTGTGAAGGGTGTTGTTTCCCTAATTTCTGTCTCAGCTCTTTTGTCTCTGGTATACAGGAGGGCTTCTGATTTTTTTGAGTTGATTTTGTATCCTGCCACTTTGCTGAAGGTGTTTATCAGCTGGAGGAGTTCTCTGGTTGAATTTTTGGGGTCGCTCATGTATACTATCATATCATCTGCAAATAGTGACACTTTGACCTCTTCCTTTCCGATTTGTATCCCCTTGATCTCCTTTTGTTGTCTTATTGCTCTGGCTAGGACTTCAAGTACTATGTTGAAGAGATATGGAGAGAGTGGGCAGCCTTGTCTTGTCCCTGATTTCAGTGATTGATTTAAGTTTCTCTCCATTCAGTTTGATGTTTGCTATAGGCTTATTGTATATTGCCTTTACTATGTTTAGATATGTGCCCTGTATCCCTGATCTCTCCAAGACTTTAAACATGAATGGGTGTTGGACTT